TAAAGCTGATTGGAAATCTTTGACAAAACGAAATTTTGATGAGTCAGAAGCAAATGAAACTTGACTAAAATTTGTTAAACTTCCCCTCACACACTTTTCAACCACCTCTAGTAATAAGCCAACTGTCAGTCCAGCAGTGACAAATATTGTTGTATCATTGTTCCTGAAACACAGTTGATATGAAAGATGCTATAGTAATTAAGGGCCCGATCCTGTAAACACAGCTGGACATATTAATATTGCTGACTACCATGGGAAGATCCACTAAATACAATGGATCAGCTCATTATGCCTGGAGCACATTGTTTACCAGAAGAGCCCCTCAAGTTGTACATTGCCAATTAGTCATGAAACGGCATTTATCAAAGTAGGAATTGAGTAGAGCACTACAAATTCCAAGCTGTAGCACTGTTATGCAGGAGTATTATTGTTAAACTCTGGATAAAAATGGCAACTGTTTCAATACGTCTTTCATAGAAGCTGATTTTTTTCCGTACACTGTTTTATAATAGAACTAAACAGGGCTGAGTGTGAATAGTCTACCAGAACTGGTTACATTCCTAAACCACACCCATCACCATATCATCTGAGATATCAGTAGTCCTAGATAGACCGAAGGCCCAAGATTCAAACCACCACCACCCACTATGGGCCCAATTCTACTTTTCATTCGAATCAATGGAGGTTTTGCTACAGACTTTTATGGGAGAAAGTTCAGGTCCATAAGTCTATAGAACCCAATCTGGCTCTCACATTGCTGTAAATCAGGAGTAATATTACTGAAGGCAGTAGAGCTCATCTGAATATACAACAGTAAGTCTCTTATTTGAGGGAAGATGCTGGATGTTTGACAGACAGATGCAAATCCCCACACTGTGCCCAATATGGCAATAACTTCCCATTAGATGGAGAAGTTACTCTTGACTTATGTCCCTGGAGTGTATTGGGAAAAGGAAAGAGCTGGGGCCTGCCTGAGGGTCTCTGATAATGGCCCCACCCGTGCATGACACTGATAGGGACAGAAACATTTTTATTGCATGTCTGGCACTTTTATTGCAGGTTCTGGCACTCCAATTGCTTGTGGTAGACACCTCTGCCCTGTATTGTGATTGCCTCCACATTTACTGCAAACATAGCTTGGTTTGCTTACCCTTGTGTTTTGTCTTTCTGCATTAGCCAGTCTTAGCTATCTTTAATTAGATGCACTTCACCTCTTTTACTGCTTGCTTACACTTTCATTTAGGAAGCACAGTTTTTACTAGCTCTGCAAATATCCATTTTTCTTTGCAATGGCAATTCCATTTCTTATGATAATCTTGTACTGGCCTAGTTATCAGTTACATTACAAATTATTTGCCCTCTAATTAGCCCTTCTGTTCATTGTACATAACTTAGCTTTATTACTTAGGTGGGTAACATAATGGTCCATAATCTTGCCTGGCAGTTGGTTTCTTGTAAAGAAAATATGCCTTTCCCAAATATCACACTCTATTTCTACAGTTCCCACAGTGTATTAGTTACTAGCCACACACCCAGAATGACCCAGTCCCTGCCTTGAGAAGCTTATCATGTAAGAATATGATTCGAAATTTAGATTGCAATGTACAGCATGGTTTTAATCACAGCTTTCTTTATAGTGAGGGAATTGGGCATAAGGTGATTTGCTTCTTCTGAAATGTCTTTGTATTTGACATAGCAACACCAAGTGGTTTGAGCATTGGCCTGCTAAACCCAGGGTTGTGAGTTCAATCCTTGAGGGGGCCACTTAGGGATCTGGGGCAAAATCAGTACTTGGTCCTGCTAGTGAAGGCAGGGGGCTGGACTCGATGACCTTTCAAGGTCCCTTCCAGTTCTAGGAGATGGGATATCTCCATTAATTTAATTTAATTTAAAATTTAAGTTAGCTCACTTCTTATTTAACTAATGATCCGTTTTGTGTCACAGATCTATTATTTTCAGAATGGACAGGCTTATGAGTATGGAGAGTTCAAGAACAGAATAAACGTGACAACAAACCAAGGAAATGCATCAATAACAATTTCCAACATGCAACCCGCAGACACCGGGCTTTATACCTGCGAAGTTTTCAGCCCAGAAGATTCAACTGGACAGAACCAGAAATCAGTGGCTGTCAGTGTACTGGGTAATTTCTTTTGCATTGTGTTTTCATGTTGCTTTATCACATGGTGTTGAATTGGGATTAAAAAATGCACTACAGGGTACCCAAGAGAATAATGTAATGGGGAGTGGATGGGAACATTGGCACCTTTTGGTCAGTTAGTGCAGTGGGCCCCCTGGAGCTGTGCAATGCAGTAACCATCATGGTAAAGAAACAGGACTTATTTTAATTGATAGAAAGATTCTTTTTCCAGGCTGCTGGACACAGACAGAGCCAGTGGTTCTCTCCACCTCCCAGGCAAACACCACCTGTGCTGCCTCGCGTTAGCAGATGGGGTCTCTGGGTTAGGGTTACACTGCGGCTGGGAGTGAGCCTCTCGGAGCAGGCAGACAGATTCATGCCAGAGGGCCTCAAGCTGGCACACTAAAAATAGCAGGATGGACATTGCAGCTTGGGCCGGAGTTCAGGCTCTCAGGAGGCTCACTCCCAGCTGCTGCATGGAGACCTGCCCTCGTAGTCCTGGCCTGGCTGAAGCAATCATGAACAGGACTGCTGACTACAGTGCCTGTGGAACATTGCTCACCCCTAGTGAACAGGGTAATATGTATATGCTGAAACCTGTGCTCAACTAATAACTGCACTCACCCGGTCCTAATGGCCAGTAAAATCTGAGTTGTCATGGGAGTCCTCCAGGTTAACCTTGCTGCATTATAGAGCCACCTATTATAATGGCCAGAGAAATATACATCCCCTTGGTAGCTGTTACCACCCAGTTTCACTGGGTAGTAATTAAAACACACTTTTAGTTGGGAACCACAACCACACCCTGAAAACATTACTTGAGCTAGGGTTGCTGGCCTAGGCTTTAAGGCTAAGCCCAACATTTTAAAATTTGGAAGCCTAAAAGCAGCTGTGAAAATCAGGCCACTTGTTGATATAGTTTTAGGCCCCCACATCTGAAATGCTGGTCATAGCAACTTGCCTAAGACCACACAGATAATCATTGGTGGAGCCAGCAGTAAAATCCAGAAGTCCTGGTTCCATAAACAGTCCAAATGCTGCCTCTCTATTAAAAAGTGTAATCAATGTAGCTCTCTGTTTTGAGTTGTGTACAGAGTACACATCAGCTGAAAGAAAGCAATAGTTCAACCCTGAACAGATAAAAAGTGAAGAAGAGTCCTGTGGCACCTTATAGACTAACAGACATATTGGAGCATAAGCTTTCGTGGGTACATGCATCCGACAAAGTGAGTATTCATCCATGAAAGCTTATGCTCCAATACGTCTGTTAGTCTATAAGGTGCCACAGGACTCTTCTTTGCTTTTTACAGATCCAGACTAACACAGCCACCCCTCTGATACCTGAACAGATAGTTGAACAAGTATGAAAAGCAATGAGACAAGAAACATTTTACTTGCTAACAAGATAAATGTTAATACTAACTCCACCTAACAACTATCCACACACTCTCTGGGTAGTTGATTAGAGTGAGAAGTCAGTGCATATGTGAAAATCGCTCCAGCTGTATCATTTGTCTATACAGATGAGACAATTAAAGGCAAATGGAGATAAATCCACTGGAAGAAACAAATTTTCAAAGCACAGATATTAAAACCATCCTAAAAAAAAACCAACCCAAGCGGCAGTTACTCTGCAGCAGAATAATAAACAAGAGCATATGTGAGTTTGACTCAAAGCTTGAAAAATGGGATTGTAGTTTTCCTTAGAAAAGCAAGCATCACTGCTTGTACTTATACAGACAAAAACTGGGCCAGATTCATCACTGGTGTAATTCCACTGCAATGGAGTTAAGGAGGGCCCACAACAATAAGTTTAAATTGTGTTAAATGGGTGACATGACCAAGCAAATGCAGGAAATTAAAAACAACACAGGTGTAGCTCAGAGTAGGATATGGCTGAGTACCAAAACAGAATGGTAGCATTTTGGACAGGTGCCAGGCAGTGAAGAATCAGGCTATAGATCTTTGCACTCATATGTAATAGACCCACTTACACCAAAAATGACAGTCCCATGAGGCAGAAAGTGATCTGACAGGGACGAAAAGGGAGTCGTAATATAATTGAAATAACTGATAGTCTTTTCCAGCAAGAAGTAATACCTTACAGCCTTCGTAAAAGTATTTAGTATGATAAACACCATGAAAGGCATAAGAGTTTCCCCCCGACTGTTCATTGTTCTTTGTTGCTGCTCATGTCTATATGGGAGAGATTGTGGTCAGACTACTGGGCCAGGATCTGATCTGTTATACTGGTGGAAAGCTAAAACAACATCACCAAAGTCAATAGATTATTTACACCAGTGTAAGAAAGTGGAATTTGGTCTAGCAAAATTTTGGCCCATAATTTGTACCCATGGGCTAACTATTTTTCCTGTTGTTATTTTCAGTCAAACCTTCACAGCCTCACTGTAGCTTACGGGGAACTCCTGAGACAGGCCACCTTGTCTCTCTCTCCTGCTATTCTGAAGAAGGGATGCCTGCGCCTACATACCAGTGGTATAAAGTATCAGAGGGGACCCAGAAACCCGTGACAGAACAATTCAGTGAGTAACTTCCTCAGTACTAGTGTGTAACATGCAAGACCTAGAGTGTGATGGCTTGAACCATGCATTCAATGTTCTAGTCAATACAGAAAAGAATGCATTTCCCCGCTTTGTGTGCAATAATATGGATTGAATTTATTTTTACCTGTCAAAAATTACTAACAGCCATTACATAAATGCATTAGCCTGGTTTTGTCAATTTTACAATACATAATGCTGCTGGCCTCAGAGAAGATAATTATGTAAAAAAAAAAAATACCTATCTGTGATACTAATTACACCCCAGAGCATTAAAATGAAAAGTACTGCAATAATCTAATTTACTGCTTTTTTTTTTTTTAATCTCACTCACCTTGGAGTGAGTGAGATGCAAATTTATACTAAACTTATACTCAGTGGAACTCAAATTGTAGTTTTGTTTCCTAGGTCCCCGTTGTGAAAACACTTAAGCATGTGCATAACTTTACACCTGCAAGAGATCCAATTGGCTTCAATGGTATTACCCAAATGAGTAAAATTACACACATGCTTCTGTGTTTGCAGGATAGGGGACCTGGTTCTCATACACTTAATGTGATACTGCAGAGTTCTCTGTAAAATGATGTAACAATTGTTTTCAAGGAAGATAAATGGTTCTAAATAGATTTTTTAAGGAAATCCCTTTATTTAAATGCTGCAAAATTTACAATACAACCTCCCATGCCGTGTAATAATCCTTATTATTCTTATTCAGTAAATACAAGTAATTACCCATATAATATATAAACATGCATGTACATATATGTTTTCCATTTGTCACAGATACAAAAACTGGGCTTTTGATTATTGGTAATCTCACCACCTTTGAAGCTGGATACTACCGGTGCATAGCTAGTAACAGCCTTGGAAACAGCAGCTGTGAAGTTGACTTGACTGCAGCACGTGAGTTCATCATATGAATGGAATAAAATGTGTTTTACATACAGCATAATCAGAAAGACAAAATTAGTTTACATTTTTTAAAGGTAGACTGTTTTGGAATAAGAATGGGGTTGGTGGTCAGGAGGTCCTCAGTTCTCAACTCAACTGGGCCTTGTGTGGCTTTGGGAAAGTCATTTAACCTCTCTGCCTCCATCTTCCTCCTGTAAAATGGGCATACTAATGTATACTTAGCAACATATCTCACAGGAGGGTTGTGAGGCTTAATTAGTTAATGTTCCTTAACTACTTTAAATATCTAATACACTATACAAATGCTAATATAACACCACACCCTTGACTGGGTTGTCAGCAGCAGGGATTTGAATCCAGAACCTCTGGATCTAAAACCACGAGCTTCTACAGTATGAGTTAACTGACAGACCTAGCTCTGTTAGGTGGAAGGCTGTAGCAGCCTCACAAACCTCTATGTGGTCCAGCCAGTAGAGGGGGACAGAGAGCAACGCTGAGTAAGCATACTGAGTTATACACACCTCCTGTCTAGGGAGATCTACCCATTTCAAATCTCTGCATGGATTGCCACTTTGTAATTCCCCATCCCTGGGTGGTTTGTCAGCAGTGAGAATTTAATCTTGGATCTCTGGATCTAAACACATGAGCCTCTAAATGGCTTTGAGCGACCAGATCCAGGCCTTTGGTCTACTGACTTCAAGCTCACAATCCCAATGGGGCCTAGAACACTTTACAAACACCATTGAAATGCTCCAGTCTATGGAGTGGAGTGTTGCAGCTATTTAATAATGTAACATTAGGCTGGAAAGAAAGAAGAGTACCTTATCCCAACTGTTCTCAGCCTGCAGCCTATCAGAGCAATGTGTGATCTTTCCTGGTAGTCAGTAGAATTAAATGTTCTGAGAACGCAGCAATAGAGGTTTGGGGTGGGTCCTTGAGATAATTTCGCTCTTAAGTGGGCTGTAAAATAAAAAAATTGCCTTGCTCAAATGCCCGGGAGATGTTGGTAGGTAGACTGTAATGATGGGAATTGGAACTTGGATAGGAAAATGACATAGGATCCTTAGTGATCATAGATAGGCAGGGCCTGCATTTTATATCTCAACAAAAAATGGGAGACAGAGGCCATCCAGAATTAAAACTTTGTTTGCAAGGGTTGAAGAACCAACAGCCCTCCATATTGTCAAACAGCAACTATCTTCTCTCTCCTGTAGCCAGTCATAAAAGTGGGGAATGGATTATTTAGGTTTGTTGAGCATCCCACTTCTCTCTCCGTCTGCTTGGGTAGAGAACAGCTAGCAATATAGTGCCACCTAGCAAGAAGCTGGGAGGGAAAGAATAGTGAAAGCCTGACTCCCCCCTCTCCTAAAAGCATGGATTTTAGTTCTCAGCTCTTTGAACCCAATATCTTCTTTCCATCTGGTACCCCTTCAACGGGATTCTCTCTATACTGGTGGCTTTTTAAAATTAACACTGTGCACATATTTTTCCAGATTCAGAAGGTGGTCTCATTGCTGGAGCATTAATTGGAGCAATTCTGGGAGCAGTTGTTATCTGCATTGTTGTCTGGTTTTTAACCAAGAGGGAGAAGAAAAAGGAGAGAAAAGAGAAAGCAGCAAATAGTGAAATGCAGTAAGAATTTTTGTTTGCTTGATTGTAAGACAAACATTTCCTGACCAACCCCCTCAAAAGCAAAACTTCTCTACCACAAAGGTTTCTTTGGAACTAAGTCAAATATGGTGCAATAACATTTACAAAGTAAGACTATTTATTTTTGTCTCACTTTGAAACTGTTATTTATAGCTTCTTGCAGTGTTGGTGTAGCTGTGCTGGTCCCAGGATGTCAGAGAGACAAGGTGGGCGAGGTATTATTCTATTCTTTTTCTTCTCCCTCTTGGTTAAAAACCCGACAATAATGCAGCTAATACCTCACCCACCTTGTCTCTCTCATTATAGCTTCAACAGGAGAGATTGAGGGAGTCCCACATCAAAATAGCCCACAGCTCAGTGACTAGATCACTCTCCTGAGAGGTGTGGGAGACCCTATTCAAATCCTTTTCCGCTCTGAGGCAGAGGGGGGTATTGAACCTGGGTTTCCCATATCCAAAGTGAATGCGCTAATCACTGGCCAAAAATTATAAGGTGGGTGGCATCACCACCCCCTCCAACTGAATTCTGAATGGAAACTGATCCCGTAGGTGGCCTCTGAGCATGCCTACCAGATCACACCCTGCAGGCAAGAGAGGTGCTCCTCCGCCTATCTTCCTCCATTCGTGGATCGGGCTCAGGCTCATGCAGGTGACAGGCATCTGGACTCCTAGAGTGAGGCAGCAGCGTGCATGTCCAGAAGCAGAGACTTAAGGTGCCTAGGGGAACTTTTACCATGAAAATTAAGGTGCCCAGTAGGTTTACCCTTTTTGTACCCTGTATTTTCTCCGTGAACGTACTCATACAGAGCAATCAAGTCACCTTGCAATCTTCTTTTGAATAATATAAACACATTGAGCACCTCAAATTGCTCACTGTAGGTCATTTTCACAGCCCTCAAATCAGTTTTGTGGCTCTTTTCTGTACCCTCTCCAATTTTTCAATATCCTTTTATAACTGTGGACCCCAGAACAAGACACAGTATTCTAGTACTGGTCTCACTATTGCCATATACAGAAGTAAAATCATCTCCCTTATTCCTACACAACATTCCTGTTTATATGTCCAAGGAAATTAGTCCATTTCACCACAGCATTGTACTAGGAGCTCATGTTCAGTTGTTTGTCCACTATAACCCCTAAATGTTTTTCAGTGTCACTGCTTTTCAGGATACAGTTCCCCATTCCATAGGCCTGGCCTGCCTGCTTTTTTCCTGGATGTATGACCTTGCATTTAGCTGTATTAAAATGCATGTTTGAATGGGCCCAGCTTACCAAACGATTCAGATCCCTGTGTCTGACTGCCCTCGCCTCATCATTATTTACTACTCTGCCAATCTCTGTCATCAGAAAATTGTATCATAATACTTTTATATACAATGGGGAGCTCTAGGTGCTAGTGTGTAATATAAATAATCATACTATTGCCATTACGTCAGGGTTTTCTAAGATGTTCCTTTTGGGAGGCTCTATTATGGGGAGGATTTCAAGTTGTTATTAATTAATCTAACCGTCATCTTGTCTTCCTGCAGACCAATGACTCAGAAACAACAGGCAAATGTGGAATATGCTAATATACCCACCCAAGAAAATGAGTCTGTTGCCACTGCTACACCAAGCAGACAAGCTAATGCAGCCAATGAATACTCTACTGCTGCGGAAACTGCTGCCTCTGGAATGCCTGAAAACGATGAGATGCAAGGAGTGGAGACACAAACAAGAGCCTAAAAATTCTATTGCAATTTCCTTATCCGCTATGGACCCCATCCTCAAAAATATTGGTATTGAATTAACGCAGGAAGTAGTGGGGTTATAACCCACACACCTGCATTTGTGGTATTAATCACAAGGTGGGAGTTTGAAGGTCATGCCTTCAACCATCCAAGAAGTATGTATATCATGGCCTCATTTTTCAATTTTGTTATTGCACTTATTAACTATCTAGCTATGACTGTACCAAATATGAACGACAGCATAGTTAATATCTCCATTTATCCAACCCATTTGAGAATATTAATTATTAAATGGGTTTGGAAAGACAGACAACATTGGAGCTTTCTTATTGGCTGCTGGTGAAGCTATGTGATGGCTTGTAAACACCGGAGTCCCTTTTCTGAAAGAAAATGGTCATTGCCAGCCAATCTGAAGTGTTGCATGTGCTGAGAATGGCACAGGACGACTGTCTTAGCAAATACATTACAGTATCTAAGGACCTAATCCCACACCTTGGAAATCAATGGGAGTTTGGCCACTGACTTCAACAGGTGCAGGAGCAGACTCTTAGAGCATGTGTTCATATCTGCCTCTAGTAGCCATCCCCAGCAACAGTAACAGCCTGCTTCTCACTCGCAGCTAACGCAGTTACACTTTTAACTAAAGAAGTACTGCGGTAGGAATGTTGTTGAAGTTCCTGGGTTCAATTATCACTGATGATCAGAGTCTGTATGAATGGCTCATTAACCAAAACAAGAGGATATCAACATCTGAGGCAAACTCATAAATTCAGACTGATGAGGTGCTAATTATGATCTGTACTATAAAAGAGGGTTCAGTTTTGGCCAACATTATTTATAAAATTCCATATCTACCACTTTGCTGTACTCTAGAGAGTTCTCTTTATACATACAGACACTTAAATTCTATATGCCAGCGTACAATGTACTCGGCCACATTTTTCAGTTTTGTTGCTTACGTTGAAAATTGACTGGACTAGATGATAGGGGTCAAATCCTGAACTTGCTGAAGTCAATGGCAAAATCTCCAGTGAAGTCAACAGTGCCAGGATTTCACTCTAGCGGGTACCCAAGCCAAAATATCTAAAATGTCTGGGCCAAATCTGAAGTCATTACTCAGAGCTGTCTCTGCAGACAAAACTCCCATTAATTTTAATGGATATTTTGCCTGAGCAAAGACTGCAGGTTTGGGTCCTTAAATTTGATGATCATTATGAGGTTACCTGAAATTTTCAATAATCTTATTGAAGTTGCCTTGTGAGTATGACAAAAACTACAGTACTAAATAAACAAACTCACTAGGAAAAAAAAGTAATGAGGAAGTACAATCTGCTCATTGATTATATGTCATTCCTCACCACAGGTGAAAAAAATGTTTGCGAACAAAATATTTCAAGTTTCAGAGTAGCAGCCGTGTTAGTCTGTATCCGCAAAAAGAACAGGAGTACTTGTGGCACCTTAGAGACTAACAAATTAAAAATATTTCAAGTTTCAGAGTAGCAGCCGTGTTAGTCTGTATCTGCAAAAAGAACAGGAGTACTTGTGGCACCTTAGAGACTAACAAATTAAAAATATTTCAAGTTTCAGAGTAGCAGCCGTGTTAGTCTGTATCTGCAAAAAGAACAGGAGTACTTGTGGCACCTTAGAGACTAACAAATTAAAAATATTTCAATTGAATTACCAGACAGAGGGAGCCCTCTACCTAGCTAACAATAGTATAAACTTTATTAGTAAAAATGTTTCCACTGTAATAGGCAAACCCGATGTAGCATTTTGCTCCTCCTATCATGCAAAATACAAGTGACTTTATCAGTGACCCTGTTTGTAGCTACATTTTTTTGTTTTGTTTTTAACTGATTTTTTCATGTCCTGAGGTTTGATATGGACATTTCAAAAAAACTACCTACTGCCCTTTGGCACTATAAAATAGCATGGTCTTCGTTTTTATATGCATATTGTGTAACCGTACAGATTAACATCTCTTCTTGGTTTTCTTCACCTGATTTCTTTGCTTTTTTTCCTTAACATAATTTAGTAAGCTAAGTTACAAGGCGAAGAGGTTACTAGGATTCCTGCAATAATACAGGTTATTTGAATATTCATGGAACTACTACTAGTCATACATTTGCTGAACATGAATGGGATCTGCAGCCTATGTAAAACTAATTGCAAATAAAGTGCGCGACAGCAGTTCTCAGCAAATATAAAAAGCTAACTTCCTAACACCAAATTTTCTAATGCACCTCATTAAAATGCTAGACTGACTCTGGGGGAGGGCAAGTGGGGGAGGTTTTTCAGACAAAGTAAGTTTACTTGGGTGCATTTTTACTAACGGAGGTTGATATGTTTCTTACCATTTTGGGATGCACCAAGATATGATTGCAACTGAGCTGGCTTCAAACAGATGGGTTATTAGGATGTAGGATTATAACTGTGTTTTTGCTTTCCAGTGAACATCTTGGCAAATTAAATAAAAAATAATCAATCATGTTTGTACAGCACAGAAACCCAGGAAGAGCTGCATGAGTGGTGGAGGCTATTTTTCAGAACTTTGCTCTGATGCAGTAGACTTTTTTTCTTGTGTCACCCAACTATCCTCTCCGGGGAGATGGGGGAATGTTATTAGGTGCCATGGAGTCACAGGGTCTGGTCTATGCCCCAGCCTGTAACCAGTCTCCAGGGAGTGACCCCTTTAATGGGCCAGGCCCCAAGGACCTACACAGTTCCAAACGGGCAGGTCCACGGCCTCCGTGACTCAGCACCAGCAATCCCTGTCTCTCTCCTTGGCTCCCTGCAGCGAATCCAATCAAGTCACTAGTCCTGTGGGAGGCTTGTGCCGGCCCCTTCAGGACAGAATGCTCACAGCAAGACAGGCAGCCTTTTCAAACAAGGTAACAGTTTATCATCACCTGGCACGCAAAATCTAAAAGTCCTTAGATTAGCACACACGGGCAGCAGTTAAGCAATAGTCTATCCTAGTCAAACCAGTGCCCTGATGAGCCCTCTCTGGTCCTTTTTTTGTCTCCTGTGGTCTGGCCACTTGAGTCCCTCCAAAAGCCCCCTTCTTCCAGTCCTCTGTTGATTTGGGTCAGGTCAAGACATTTTTTTTTTAAGTGACTATTCATTCCCTGCTCTTGCCCCCCCACACACAACTCCTGCATTGTTCCAGAGCAGGGTTACCCTGCTCAGTACACGTTCTGAGTAGCAATGCAATGTAATGTCATGTACAGAGGGAAACTGAGGCATGCCTAGGATTCATAAAATGATTACAGAAAATTCCCACTTCGTCACACTAGGGAAACTCCATATAAAAAGGCACACAATGTCTCTGAGCCATTATCTCCTGGCGAAAGCAGGATTCATAGGCTGACATACAGGAGTGTAGCAATGTCTTTGACCTGAATAGATCCCAAGTAGCGATACAGAATTCCATCCCCACCCCTTTACAGCTCAGGATTGCAGTAGTACTCCCCTCTCCCCTAGTACCATGGCTGATGCACAAGTCATGCATCACTTGGCTCTCTACTTTCACCCTTGTCCCCATGCAGGGGCTTCGAGGGCATGGAACGTGAATTGTTGTAATGAGCAGCACTAAGCACCTTTTGGAAATACTGCTGAATTGCCAGGGACAAAGCAAAATAAAGCTACTGTCTCTGTTCCCTTCTGTCCTACTGTATCCCATCTCCCCATAGGAGCTGCAGTTTTGATGACACGCTGGCTTCACTCCTCTCTCCACAACAGTTTTAGGGGCATTAGAGTAGAATTTCACTCCTTGCAACAAGGTACTCATACTTATAGATGCTTAACAGACTTAGTTATTTACATAAACCCCAAACCAAAGATTACTTTACTGATCTGAAAGCTCAAATCTTGGACATTTTAATACTTAACTCTATCATCACCAAAACCTATACAATGATTTAGAATATGTAATCATTCTGATTTAGTTTGATTCTATATTTCTCTCCCTCATAACCCTTTGCAGTAATATTATACAGCTCTGACAACACAGGGGTTAGGACATAAGAACGAAAGTTATAGTCCTTACTTCTGAAAGTTCCTGGAATTTAGTATTTAAGAGATGCAGGTTGAAAAGCATCTTAGCCAAAATCATTGGTTTCTCAATCAATTTTGCATGTCAACAGCTTATTATTAAAGAGCAAGTTTTGCTTGGACCCTGCCACTCTCTCCTGAGAAAACTTAAAACTGCATTTTATTTTCTAGTGTGGAGATCACTTTGTATGAAGTGTTCAGATACAATTTTCTGGTTTGCTGTACAATTGTTGGTAGGAAACTGCATCACTTTAGCCCCTTATACAGAAGCAGTCATATTGTGGAAGTTTTATTATCTGGTTTTGTAACTTTTCCTTGTAACTGAAGGATAGCCTGATTCTATTTACATGCAGTCACTCTCCCCCCCCATCTCAGCTCTGGCAATATTTCAGCTTACTGATTTGCTCTTTTATATGACTTATGTGCATAAGTGATTTAGCTAATGATACAGATTCTTTTGTTACATATACAAGTTTAATAAAGTTTGCCGTTACAAAACTTTATTATATTGTTAATTACAGAATTTTGTTAAATAAGCACTCTACCCCCGCCCAAACAAAAAAAAACACCAAAAACTGTGGGGGGTAGAGGGTGGGTGTCTAAGAAGTCTCACTGTCACCTGTTAAACAGTTCTTTGCTGCTAAGTCCTGTGTTCTCAATTCTATACTTCCCTGACACTGAGGTGCTTTTACCATCAGTGAATTATATGTTAATCATATGCTTCCTAAAGCAGTGCAGGGACAATGTCAACTCTGTTCAGGAATGACAACAAACTGAATGTAATGGTCACATAAAAAGCTTTTCTATTACCTATTCAGTGTTCATCAGCACAAAAGTAAGACATGGGACAGTGCCAAGGAGAGGAGGAGGAAGCCATCCAATGCTTGGTTAGCAGACAAGTCACAGGACTGCATCACTTCATTGGTTTACTCCTCTGACAAACAATGGTCCGGAGGGGAGGGGACAGCATGGAATTCATTCACAGTAAAAAGTACTACCTATTCATAGCCTATGAATATAACTTTATGCAACTCAGACTCTCCAAGAAAGGAGAATGAGAGGCGGATACGCTACTCTCCCACCACTCTGAAAGTTCACATTTAGGAATATGATTTTACTGGAAATTGTCTTACCATGAAAGCTTCTTTTCATCTGAGTCAAAGCTAGCTCACAGCTAAGTCTGAGGCCCCTCTGCCCCCCCAAACAAAAGAGACAAGGAATGAATGGAATGGTGACAGTTTGACCTCTGAGAAGTGTTCCTATTCCAGAAGAGTTCAGCTCCAAGTTATGAATGTGCACTGCTGTGGTCCTCCTAGGAAGAGGAGGACTTTACAGAAGAACTGGTTTCCAGAAAGACCAGTTTTATTTCATAAGTGTTCATGGGACTAGAAGGAGCTTCTGCTGGAAGGCGCTTTACAGCCATGTAATCACAGCAGGGAAAATTCAAAGAAAGCTAAGTAAAGTGATAACTCTCACTACAGGGATGCAACCTCAGGGCACTGCTTGGAACTTTTGCTACAATTATCACCTATGAGACTGGTTTTTGTACTAATAGTACATGCCCATGAACACCACAGCTTTCAGTCATACAACAATTTTATCTTCCTATAACTAAGGAAGCAGAAGTTGCTGCTAGTAAATAAAGGGTGCCCTGGACTATTGATATTAAAGAGGTAAACAGCACATTAAAGTCAGAGATAATATTACACAGTGGGATGCACCAAACCACCAACATTGACAGCTAGAGAAGGAAATTCAATGAGATTCAAGCTAGTACATCTGAGGAAAAAATCCAGAACACAGATATTCAATGGGCAAAACACCTCTTAAAAGCTGGGATATTAAATAAAGGCACAAGATGATAGCGGATAGTAAAATTAGATGGGAGCTTGCAATGAGACATACTGGGCCAGCAGAAAGCAATGTAATTAGATGACAGTGTCTCTGGGGGGCACTAGTGAGTCTGCATGTACCTTACTAGACACAGTTTGAGCATCTCATTACCAGGAAGCATTTGACAAACTGAAGGGAACATCACAGACTAGAGGGCCAGACAGACCAGGCAATAAAGACGTATTGAGAGTGAAGTATTCATAGCTATGCCAAAAGGGGGTTAGACAAATGAAAGGGGTGGCAAATAGAATTAACCTCTAGAAGTAGTTGAACAGTAGTTTAGATAATAAGGAGGGAGAGGAATAGTTTAGAGTGGTCTGAAGTGAAATAAGAATTGGATTAAACTGAAAAAAACAAATATGTAATATGAATACCAAGAAGAAGAAAAAAGGAAAAAACGCCAGTTCCTTTACAAGATGCAGAACTGATTGGAAATTTTCCAATGGAATTTTTTTTTTGTTTGAGGACTGTGTTTTCTGAAGCCCCAGCTCCACAGCAGCCTGCCAGGCAAACTGACTTTGAATTTTGGCTTCCGGAGCTCCCAAAATAAGCTCCCTGGGATCCCCATCAGGTGGGCTGCTGAGAAGCCAGCAGCCTATATGTCCTGGGATCCCCAGCTCCTCGGTAACTCATCCGGGTAGGCAGCCGGGGAGTCCAAGAAGCATATTTTGTTTTGGAAACACCTAAAATATTCTTGTGTTTTTCACAGAACTTCAATTCCATTTTCTGGCCAGCTGTAACAAAAAGTAATAGACTGTGGAACGGGCTTCCAAAGCAAACCTAATTTTAAATGGCTCAAGCAACAGGACTGAACACAATATACTATAAAGAATCAATCCCACACTAGGCCCTGTAAAATAGAAAATAAAACCTAACAGGTTTCTTCCAATTCCAATTTATAAGAGTAACAATAATTTTACATGAAACAAAACTGCAGGATACTAAAAATATTTTAAAAGTGCTGACTGGTTTAATTAACAGGCAATTAGAAGAAGTGCACTTGGTGGTAAAATTGAAGGGTACTGATATATACCACTACATACATTATATATGCACATTATAACAACATTTAAGCTATCAAAATTAAGCTATCAAAATATTAAGATAATAGTCTTAAATGGGTGCATCAGGAATGGAATTCAAGTCATAACTCATCCAACACTGCTAGTCTTCCACCAGTCTTTTAAGTACAGTTCCCAGGCCAACTTTTGACACTTTCAGCGGGGTCTTTTCTTCTTTATTCTCAATGTAAATACTTGCACCATGGGACACCAACAGCTTTGCCTCATCCACTCTCTCTTCAGCACAGGCTAAATGGCTGTAACAAGAACAAGAAACCCATGATCACTGCCAACTCTACCAAGTTTAGAGTGCCAGTCACTGAGGAGTTTATATATAGCCACAATTGAAGTGTCATGGATGTTTCACAGGGGTAGGAGGTAAGAGGTAAAGGAATATGGGGAAAGAGCACACATAATTCCAACCCTGAACATAGACTTCAAAGCCAGTTCCCAGTCATTCCACTGCCAGTAGACAGCTTGAGTATTTCCCAAGGCTGCTGTCTTTTCATGTCTCTTCATTTCAACACTAGATTGTAGCCCTGCTGAGGTAGCCAGCTTTGGGAAGTCAAAAAAACTCCAGTACCTGAACCTCAATTATGCAAAACACACACATGACTGCGTTTGGTCAAAAAATCCCTCATGAAAAATGGAAAAAATCCACATTAGCAACTATACCACTTTTATCTGTCATTAATCAATTGGCATAAGATTTTTAAAAATATAATCTGACATTATTGCACAACAATAGTGAACAGAATGCAATTATTCCTTAAACACTAGAAGTGAAATCCTCACCCGCATTTTAGTCAGATAGGAGTTTTGCCATCAACTTAAATTTTACCATAAGAGTTTACGTATGGATAGTGCCCTAGATGCATGCATTTCAAATACTGGACCAACTGCATTTAACTTCTGCTTGTTTGCTTAATAGTAGGGCTGTCAATTAATCAGTTACCTCATGCAATTAACTCAAAAAAATTAATCATGATTAATTGCAGTTTTAGATTTAGACTTCAGATTCTTAAACCTTGGGTCAAGTGCTGCCCTGCAAGCTCTGGGGTCCAGGATTGGGGCCCGGGCTGCCGCTGCCCTGCCACCCAGCCCCTGCAGCTCAGTGGTTTGAGCATTGGCCTGCTAAACCCAGGGTTGTGAGTTCAATCCTTGAGGGGGCCACTTAGGGATCTGGGGCAAAATCAGTACTTGGTCCTGCTAGTGAAGGCAGGGGGCTGGACTTGATGACCTTTCAGGGTCCCTTCCAGTTCTGAGATAGGTATATCTCCATATATTATAGTCCAGGTCATTCATTGTGGGCCACATAATAAGTTGAGAACAACTGGTCTACCCTCTAGGGGCAGTAGAGTTGAATTATTAAGTGATTGGTTACTGTAACTAAGTTTTATGCTTCACCTGGAAATATAGAAAAGTCTAGTATGTATTTGAAAAACAAAAATGTAAAACATGGTGACTGGAAATGAGTGAAACATCTTGTTACACTTCTCTGAAGTTTTCTGAAGGAACTAAGAGTTTGAGTATACTTGCATGTAAGTAATGGAGTTTTCAGTTGAGAGAGATTAAAAAAAGGAGAACAGAAATGTAACATCACTTACAGAGGTGTGTTCCCTTCAGAGTCCTGCATATTCACAGACGCTTTGTACTGCAGCAGGATCTGTATCATTTTTAGGTTTCCTTTGGCTGCTGCTCTGTGTAATGGAGTGGATTCATAGTGGTCTGTTGCATCAGGATCAGCTCCTTTCTCTAACAGCATAACTGCAATCTAAGCATGCAGGTAAATGGGAAAAAAAATTCACCTAAATGACCACTTTAATGACAATACAAAAGAAGAGCAAGACCTGATAACATACGAAACCATACCTCTTGTCTATTTCTGGAGGCTGCATAATGCAGAGGTGTGCAGCCATTTTGATTAACATCATTCACTTGAGCATCTTTTCCAATCAGAGCTTTCACAATTTCATCATGGCCTGCTGAAGCTGCAATATGGAGAGGAGTCCAGCTAGCCTACAGAGGCAGGAAAAAAACTAGTTTAAACCCTACAATTGCAAGGAAAAAGCTCACTGTAGAGTAAGGTACTAGTCCGCGTAAGAGTGGCAGAAAGAAACTTTTTGAAGGCCTGCAAGGTTATTTTAGGTAGACAGTAGAACACTGAAGAGAACTTGACAACTTCCCCTTATTTAAAAAGATTATTGTTCTTGCAGTACTGTTCGTAATAGACATTACTACTCCGGTTTGTCCACCAACTAAAAGGAAAACGGCATTCCCCTCAGCAACATAGGCTACCTTGAGCACATCAAGCCTATCCTCTGCTCTCTACAATGGCTTCCTGTAGAATATTGAGTCAAAGTTCAAGATCTCAGTCCT